GGTCACAGTTGGCTGTTTGAATGTTTCCCCATTTTTTTTGTTAAGGACGTCTGTGCATACTCCATGGCCGGTGCAGCTCCTGTTGAGGGTTTTCCATATTTGGCGAGGAAGGTCTTGTCCCGTTGGTAATTTCAGAGGGTTTATTTTGCTGTTTACATCAGGAGGAGTTAGTTTGGCCCAGTTTGTTGCCCAGGCAATCTTGCTTTTAAAATTGCCAGCTTGGAGGCGTTCTGCAGTAACTAGTGGGGGTCGCCTGGATCTCATTCTTTCAAGATTAAGATAAGGGATGTCATCATGAACTGGGAGGTTAGGATTTGGTTGCAGTTTCTTAAATTCACGTAACAAGGCTCCTTGTCTACGTATTGCTGGTGGTAGAATTCTGCTCAGTATAGGTAGCCAGTGGGTGGGAGTTGTTCTGAGACAGCCTGTTATAGTCCTCATTGTATTGTATTGTATTGTATTAGCAAATTTTGTGAAGTAAAAATATTGGCCTTTTTTTTCATGCCATGTAGTAGTAGACTCTCCCAACTTCCCCTGTGATATTTGAGTCTAAGCATTCTTGTTTGCTAGACCACTGCAAGATCTGTGCAGGTGCAAACATGGCATATTCATTAGCAGTATGTGTGTTTATTCTTCAGATTTACTGAACATCAAAATCGTTTGAAGAATGTCCTGACAATGAAGTACAAAATAAATCAAAAATGCTTTGACTGGAAACAAAATTTCAGGACTCTGAATTGTGTCTTTGAGAAGGTGAAGGACATATGCTATAAAACTGTTACAGTTGAGGCTGAATTTTAAATAGAACATCCTGTAGCAAGCAAGGCTTTATTTACAGTTGTTCAACAAAAATACAGTGAGAACGGTTTACAGATGATTCTTTGTAAATTGGTCACTTGGATATTCTAGGAATAAATTTACGTACATGATCAGCTTTTCGATGACAAACCAGGAGGGAAAAGGAGGAGAGGGAGACCTAGACTTGGATCATTGGATGAAATATTTTATGTATAATGTCATGGCCGTGGCCATGATGAGAAAAGTATATCTGCTCCCTGGCTACTTAAAGGTTGTCCATACTTGATATAATGTGTAATGGTTTTATACCGCAAGTGTAAGGGTGAGACATTTTAAGAGCTTAACAAACTCTCTGGTTTAAAACTGGAAAGGATGATGATAACGAGTCTATATAATTTGTTTGTGATTTGTATTAATTGACAGCAACACAAAGTTATTCTTCAGCTATTTAACAACTGAACGAATGTGAAAGTAAATTTGCTTTTTCATAAAGCTGGGCTGAAAGGTATATGCCTTTAATTTGCTTCACTGAATATGCATTGACTATTTGCTTTACCACCTCAGCTCTACATCAAGTGTTCATTATATTTTTATTAAAATTTGGAGATATGTCATAGTCACAATGGAAGAAATATGTATAAAAACTCTAACATAATACAGTGATTTCTGTGAGAAAAGACATCTTACAACTGTGATTAATCTGGAAACCTGCATATTCATTGCATATGAGTTTTTTCCCAGAATTCTTCTTGATAAGCTAACAGTATGCTCAACTAGGCAAGAAATGTCTTGCCCTTTGTGAAACCAAGTTTATTAATGGAGCATAATAATCCAGAGATTGGTTTTGCTTCTGTATCAGCAGTCATACATTTCCTCAGGTGTGGCTACTTTTTTAATTCTCAATAATCATAGAGATTTTGTGCATAGAAGATGTTATATGTGACAGAATCTTTTATTTCCACCCCCAACCCCTCATTCCAAATACTGCTAATAGCACTTTCGCTATGCTAAGTATTACTTAGGGGTCTGCAGTGGCCGCGTGGTCTGAGGCATGGGCCTTGTGCCACTGGGACCGTGGGTTCGAATCCCACTCAAGCCAGGGATGTTTGTCCGCGTTTTTCTGTGTTGTGCTGTCCTGTGTACAGGTAGAGGCCTTGCGACGGGCTGATCCCTCATCCAAGGTGTCCTACCGAATATCTGTAGATCAAGCCAACGAAAAAGTTGGACCCGCAGTGCTCAGGCACTTGAAGAACAGGTCATTCCCAGTATCCCAGTAAGTATTACTTAATGGACTGCTGGGTAGTGTTAAATATGGGCAAATTCTGTTGTTTACTTGTACACTTAAAGTGTTGTAGTTAATGCATGCTGCGTTTGCAGCAGACAAAGCAATGTTGCATTGAAGCTATTATTGCAGCAAAGATCTTAAAGCTCTTCATCCCAATACAGCATGTACTAAGCTGGCTCATGGAGATGCCAATGCAAGTGGGGAGATTGTGACAGGAAGTTTTCCTTCTGTTATGAGCTGTCCTTCCTCAGATATTACTTACCAGACATTTTATTAGGCTATGATCAGCCAGTTAAAGTTTTTGTTACATGTAGTTTCAGAATGAGATTTTTCTTTTTATTATTAGATGGAACAGAAACATAATTTATTGTCCACAGTTAAAGCACTCAGAAATTCTCACACCAGGGCAAGGCTCCTAGATCGAATATCATTTTTATAAGTAGAGATCTGCTTGCTCAGCCTAGCTTTATGGGATTACTACTATATTATTACTCTGAAGACAGTAACAGATTGTTTTTGTGTTCGAAATGTCTTTTATTTTCTACTTTTGTTCT